GGATGCAACAAGTCAAAATGTGAAATGCTTAAAGGAATAAGAATAGTTTTGTAAATCAATGTATATTATGGACATTTTGAGAGACATAATCTGGACTTCAAAGTAAGCGATGTGAAACCAATGCAGTATTTATTTACAGCTTATGTGATCAGACTTCAGGCATGTCTTCCATTGGCTGCCAGTCACCTAAATGCAAGATGATGACATTTTTTCCTTCCAATATTCACCTTATAAAGCTCAGAACAAATATATTTGGCTCTTTGCTTCCAGGAATGTGAAGCGCTCATCCCAGTCCAGGCTTTAACAACCCTTTATTGATTATCCCTGGTGTAGAAATACAGGCATGCATAAAACCTGGAACCTGAAACTTTTTTGTACTAACATTCATAGACGTCCTCTCTCCCACTTCTCCTTTTCTGTTTGCTGTACGTCATAGTAGAAATGAATAAACAACATCCCAAGATGTAGCACTTCCTCATTTTCATGTTAGGTGAGGCATCATGCTTTGCAACAAACCACTGACTGCAATGGATGCAGAACCTTTTGTCAGGCTGGCATTTAGATCCAGTTACAAGAAGAAATGCAACACCTGGTCCTGTGAAAACACGGTGCCGCTTCAGATGTATTATTCATGCATTATTCAGTACAGGCTGAAGCTGAACGCACAGCTTGTTGCTGGTTAAAGCCCATTAAGTATAGGTAGCTAGTAGGATGTGAAACCATGTGCAGAGTGGATCCTAATCTTGACATGTAGAAACTGAAACTGTCATCTGAAACAGCCTTGTAAGTGAAATCTAAAACTACAGGAGCTGGTTGCTGCTCTCAGCTTCAGCTGCATATTCTGTCCTGAAGAGTTTGATGAACACAATTTAAAAGTCACTATCTGCGCTTACATTACAAATGGGTGCCAATCTTTGTCTATGTTTTGCTAATGTCAAAAAAACTATTTTGTGGTGTTTCCATTAAATAAGAAATTAAATTGAAATCACATGTGAATAAGCTTGTTCTCGCGATAAGCCATTGAAAACAATGGATGTAAACAGTTACATGAGATGCATTCATAAATCAGCCATGGTGGGCTGGTGCTCATCATCTATCAGCCAATCGGAGGAGTCATCTGCGTCTTATTCAGGCATTAGAGAGATAAGCCCCGCCCACTTGGGAGCGGCTACATATGCAGCGTTTTGGGAAAACTGTAGTCGGTAATTTTACAGAATGGTTGTGGATTCAATGTGTTGGAATTACAAACTGAACTTTTAATGAACTGTGATGCTGAGAGCTCTGGTGGATTCAGCTGCACATTGTCTGAAAAACATAAAAACTACAAAACACAAAATGGACTACTGATTTTTTTTCTTTTTTTTTTTTTTTTTTTTTGCATTGCTATGGTTCCATTAAGCAAATTTATTTTTTGTTATTTCAATTTGCACAACTTTATGGTCAAAGGAAACACAGCTACAGTCAAACATCTGAAGTGCTAAGATTGGAATATTTTTATGAAAAAGGGTAACTTCTGTTTAACAGCAACTTTTAATTTTATTTACTTTCTTCCTACACAAAACTGATCTCAATAAGACTCTCAAAATACATATTTCCAAAATGAAATAAACAATCAATGAAGGGCAAACAGTCTTTATTGCACACTGTCGACGTCTGGCAGAAGATTCTGATCCAAAACGGCACCGAGAGCTTCAGCTGTTCTAATCTACACATGGTCTGTGCCTTTATACAAACATAGATGAATTGTTCTTTCCTGTTTGTACAAATATATGTAACAGCATCAGCACACACACACACACACACACACACACACACACACACACACGCACGCACACTGCTTATTAACCTGATGTCGAACTTTGATAAATGTAACAATGATGGCAGTCTGGATTGAGGGAACTCTCACTATGTGTTCTTAAAAATAAAAACTGTTAATCAGCCAATCAGAAAACCACAACAGCAGATTTAGAGCTGCGTCTGCCAACCCACAGCGATATGGCAAAACGCTCCACATCTTGTAAACATGCATAAATGCATGACTTGCATTAAGAGTGTGTGAATTTTGCATTCTGAGGTTTCTCAGTGCATTTTGTTCAAAAACTTAACATTTGGTGGTACACTTCAAGACGTCACATTTAAAAAACAAAACATAAAAACAACATAACTAAACAAGGCCTAGTCAAAGTGCAGACATAAATCCAATTGAGGATTTCTAGATAAACTTTAAGAAACTGCCAACAGCATATGCTCTCCATCCCAGAGCATATGCATGTTTGAAGACTTGCAGCTGTAATTGCTGACTCACTTTTCATATTCAGAATCAGAAGAATTTATTGTCATTGTCACAAAGACAATGAAATTGCAGTTTCAGTTACAGTTGATTTGTAAAACACTTTGAAAGCCCCAGCTCCTTTCCTGCCATTTAGTTTGATTCTTTGAGTTGTAAACCAGCAGGTGAAATGTGCTGGGCGGCCGTTTGAAAAGCTGCTTTTCTGCTGTTTTCAGAAGCAGAGCTTCTCAGTTTACGGCGAGTACTGCAGTAACCACGAGAAGGCTTTGCGACTTCTGATGGAGCTCAACAAGATTCCCAACATACGGACCTTTCTACTGGTAAGATAAAATATATATTCTTTCTTTTCAAATCTTTTTTTTTGTTTGTTCATTCAGAGGGGAGACTGAGGTTTCTTTTTTGCATGTTTTTTGTTCATTATAAAAATACATCAAAATTTGGGGTTGTAAACTCAGAAATTGTGAATACTTTTGTTAGACTCTGGATGACTTCACAGCTGATTTTCCTTTGGGTAGTTCTTTCTATATTCTTAAATGTTTTTCAGTTTTTTTCCCTTTGACCTACATTTGGTTAATATCCTGACTCCTTTCCGTAATCCTGCTTCGTTTTCACCACTCCTATCACCTCCATTTCCATGTAAACACTTGAATAAAGGCCAGATAGCATAACAAGGTCAGGAGGTTCTTCCTGCCTGGACAGGAAGCAACCGTCGTCAAGGACATTTTTGTGTATTGTTACACTTGTAGTGCTTCCTCTGCCAGCTGCTTCCATGTTTTGACACCCAAACCTTTCTGGCTCCGGACAATGAAGTTAAAATGGCGCCGGGGGGCCCTGAGCGGGGAGCGGGGGGTCCCCGACTCCCAGGCAGGGAAGCCATCCTGGGATCAGCCAGCTGTGGACTGTTGGCAGCCGTTTCTGGACGGGCCGTGAGCTCTGAGCCCCCCACGTCTGTCACAGTCCGGCTGCTTCCATGACATCCAGGGGATCAAGGCTGATGCATCCGCTGGATTTTTAAAATGTTTCCTCCTGCTCCTCTTAGGTCCAGATTAGCAGCTGTGAACCGGTCGGGTTCTGCATGATTCAGATGCTTCCAAAATAAAACCATTACTCAACATCTGGCTGTGCATCAAAACGATTATCAAATGTGTTTCTGTGTAGCAGAATTCTGCCAAATAAAATTAAATTGAAATAAAGAAATAAACTCCATGTTGACCTGGCAGGGATCTTTGTAGTAGTACAGGAAGAAACATATATTTTAACTTTAATTAGCCACCAAAAATGTGTCATCAGTGTAAATTTTCTTGCTAGTGAATTTCTTTTTTCAACTGTGATGGGAGCTTCTGAAATTGCATATCAAACTGAACAGCTAATGGCATTGTGAGCTAGGAGAGAAGTGAAGTTGAAAGAAAATTAGGTCAGAAGGATGAGTGGAGTGACTGGTGGCTTCAGGCTGGTGGATTACAAATATGAAGACAAAGAGAGAGAAAAGGAAGTTTGTAGAAACTAGAGTAGGAATCGGTGTGTGAAGGGGAAAAATTTAAAACAGCAGAAATCAGAGAAATTAAAAAGGTTAGTTTGACTTTTTTCTTTAAGAAATGCTTTTACAACTCCATTCAGCCTCTCCAGCTGTGTTTGAAAGGAATTGCCATGTGATCACAATGCTTCAAAGTGAGTTCCAGGCTTCCTTCCCTCTGGAGAACATTTCAGTGGTTCATCTGATTTGGCTTTTGATCGTCTTCCCATCCACTGGCTGGCAGCTAAAGACGAGCTGAAGTGAAACCAAGGCCATCGAAGTTCTGACCTTCATCCACTTCCGAAGAAGCAGAAGCTTCAGCTGGTTCTGGGGAAGAGTTCATTAATGCTCAATTGCTCTGAGAAAAAGATTTATTTCATAGGTTACCGTTTGTTAAATGGTTCTGTGATTTTGTAAAAGTATTTTTCATCACTTTTGACGGAAGACGAGATTTTCTGAAGTTTAAAATTATATCATAATTGTCACGATTTTTGCTAAGTTTTGGTAATAGTAGTGTCAGTAGTTATTGTGTTTGTCATAATTGCTAAAGATTTGTTTGTAGTTTAAGAAAAGTCATTAAAGTGCAGTAAAATACCAGACCACAGTTCCACTTGGCTCACTGTCCAGTTTTCTACAGAACACCTTATATCTGACCTTCCCTCACAGCCAAAATCAGATCCTGTAGTGCCGTGTTAGGCTACTGCTAGCATGTTAGCTCTTTGTTTTGATTTCCTTTTGACAACAGTGTTAATATGCATTAACAATTAATTCTGCTCCTGCTTCATAAACTCTTTGTTTTAAACATCATAACCCTAATAATTAGTGTGTCAGCTGCTCTTTGCACTGCTTTCTTCTGCCCAGACAGCTGTTGCTGACAGAGCAGGTCACGTGACACAAACAGGAAGTCAACATCATTGTAAAAGGTGAAAAACAATTTGCCAGAGGAACCCCAGACTGATAAGTTCAGCAGCATAATGCCACTGTCCTGTCATCAGGTACTGCAAGCTGCACACATAAATATAGAAAGTTCAGCTGCTGCTCAGGGTGCGGCTGACATAAAATCCAAAATGACTCAATAAAATAAAGTGTCTGGATTTAGCTCAGCTTAGTCAGGGAATCAAAATGGCAATCATTCCAAAACGCCTTGATCAGAACCTGAGTTCAGTTCTAATGACTGGATCAAGTTTAGGAGTTCTGATCAGGGCTGACAAAGTGTGACTGTCTCACTGAAAGAATCAAAACTCCAGGAGAAGTTAATTAAAAAGTCAATTTTCTTTGTTTTAAAATATTAGGTATATCTTATGATGTGGGTAAATCTCAAGAATTGAGTTTATATTTACTGAAAATGACAAATTTTATTAACATTTAATTGCATGGTAAAGACAGTTAGAGGTTATTTCTAATTTTACTAAATTACTAAAAGTTGTGATATTTGTAGAATTGCTTTATGCAGTTTCTGTGATGATGCAGAAAGAAAACAATAAACATATTCAACATAATTTCACACTAACAACAGGAGACATCTGTTGGCTTTTTGGTCCTGAAATCACATTTTACCTTTAGGTGTAAAAAGCATGTCTCATAAAACAACATCCTTATGAATAAAAACATATTTAAATCTTTTCTCAGACTTTGATCTGCTAAAGACCGGCTTCCTGACTGACTGCTGTAAATGGCGTCTACAGCCAAGTGAAACATGACAGCAGCAGCTAATTAACTAATTAAAGCCTTTTTACCCATGACAACTTCAAAGCACATCCACAAAATCTTTAAATGCTGTAAAACTTATACTAGATCAGTGATGTGTGCACAAGTCGAGTCATCCCTGATTTCTTTGTCTGAAGGTTTGAAAGTCTAAAGAAAATCTTAGACAACTTTAAAACAAGTCACTTTAAAGAACAGTTTAACACTTTGTACAGGGTACTGCGTCTTAGAAAGATGGAGATTTCGATCCTCTCACTTTTAGTCACATTGGAACCACAAATCTTCAATTCACTTTTATTGGGATTCTATAAGAGACACCAACACAAAGTAACACTTAATTGCTATGTGTTAGGAAGATAATTTTTAATAAAAGTTCTGCAGCTTTAAAGAATCTTTAAATTCACAAGAACCATGAATCAGTCACAGCTAGTCCACAGGTCTTTGACTATAAACACTGTGCAGCAGACATTAGATTGTCCTGATCTGTGTGTCTCATATCTGTCTCTGTCAAATAAACTATAAAAAAAAATAGTAGCAGTATAGCTGTTTTTTATGACTATGCTAACCTGGCGATGTATTTTCAGCGTTAACCTTAAACTCACTTCCACCATCAACTTCCCTCGCCCTGGCAGAGATTTGTTTAAAATCGACACAGGAAGGAACCAAGCTAGACTTTTACATCCTATACGCAGAGCTGGACTCTTTTCCGGCGCTCTTCTTCTCCTCTCACTTCTTTTGTTTTTTCACATTAAATAATTATGTCATTGCTTCAATGCAAATCCAGAAAACACAAGTCTGAAACGTGTTTCTGCTTCTGTTTCCTGTGCAGCACTGCATGCTGTTGGGAGGAAAGAAGAGCACAGACATTCCCCTGGAGGGTTACCTTCTCACTCCCATCCAGAGAATCTGCAAGTACCCTCTGCTGCTCAAGGTACGGCTGCAGCTGCTGCAGCAGCGCTGCACCACACAGCACATTCTGAAAACCAAACAGCTATGTTTGAGTTCAGGTCATGACTCATTTGTAAACTTGGTTAGATGGGCACATTTCTTCCTATGCCGTTGGTGGTAGTTTTGGAGCAGAGGCTGGTAAAGGTCATGCTCCTAAATAACCTCCCTGAAACTCTGTTTTGTGCTTTTTTTTAGTGGATCTACTTAATTTTCTGAACTTCCTCTCTCTGTGATATAGGAACTACTTAAAAGGACTCCTAAGAAGCATGCAGACTACCCTGCTGTGGAGGAGGCTCTGCAGGCCATGAAGGCCGTCTGCTCCAACATCAACGAGACCAAGAGGCAGATGGAGAAACTGGAGGCTCTGGAGCAGCTGCAGTCCCACATCGAAGGCTGGGAGGTGAGAACAAGAGCAGGCTGAGCCGCCACAACTGGGGCGGGAGGTCTGGACTGGAAGGGAAACTGAGATCTTTGAGATTTCAGACTCAGAGGCTGGTCATGAATGCAACTGAAAGGAGAAATTAATTTTTAATAAAACCACAACAAAGACAGCTAGAGTTAAAGGAAGTTAACTACCACATCACTCCTCCACTTTTACAGCCACGGTATTATGATGCTCTGCTTTTACCTAAAGGTCTGAAGGGTCTGCTGCATTTTCACGCCTCCCTCACCACCACAACAGGGCCCTTGTCTCAAGTGGCACCATTGGGGACAGTTCACCCACTCAGGCAGCTGGAGGGGGCATGCCAACAGGCTCACCGGCCAATCAGAAGAGTCCCGAGAAGCAGACCTCCATGTTTGAGGAGTTTATATGTGCTACCTTTAGTTGGAATGCGCCTCATCTGAACATCCATTTGTCTCATTTCATTATTTTACACAAAGCCGGTCACAACAACACATTTTTCTGGACAATAAATTCTCCCAGAAATGTTTGTGATAATTGATAATATTGTTGTTTTGAGACCATTTTCAAGTGAAAAGTACACCCTTTTATAGATCAGTTAACTTAAATTTCTAACATTTATCAATGGAACTGAAGGACATTTTGAATATCCAAAAGAAATAAGCAAAACACCTGACATGGGAAATACAATGAATTATGAAAGCTGTCCTTCAGAAAAGGACGAGCTCTGCCCAAAAGCAGCAGACTGAAAGAGCTGCAAGCAAATATGTAAAAATATGTCAGTTTTGGCTCCTATCTGATATCTCTGTATATTTATTATTGGTAATACTAGGACTGCAACTAACAATTATTTTAGCAATCAATTATTCTATCGCTTATTCTGCTGATTAATTGATTAAAGAAATTGACACATTCTGACAATTTTTCATTTAACCACTTAAGTGTATTTTATACAACATTAGAAATACATTATAAAATACAAATAAACAAATAATTCATTTCCTTTTTAAGTGAAAAAATAAACATTCTAATCTATTCTAAGCTTTCCTTTAGTGAACTCTTGATCATTTGTAGCACAGGATGGATCTGCTGCTGAAAAATATTTTTATCAACATGCGAAAAGCCGTTTTGCTTATCAGTACACTATAGGCCTAATCTATTTACTGGTTTTCAATTAAATGATTAATAACAGGATAGTTAAACATGCTTAATAAGAGATTATTTTTACACTATTTGAACCAGTTGAAGCTAAATAAAACCACTTGAGGAGTTTTGGGTAAAACATTTACAGATAAAGAAGGTTTTTCATCTTAATTTACATTTTGTACAGTTTTAACTTAATCCCTGCTCTGAGTGTGTAGGTCTTTCATCAAAATGCCTTTATGAGTCTCTATGATCCAGATAACAATTCATTGATGACTATTTCAATAATCAATTAATCTGATTAATTGGTGTGAAACATATCACTGTATTGTAGGTACAGTATTTGCTAACCTACAGACTGGTAATGAAGAACAATGCTGTTACTGAACCCAAAGAGCAGCTGAAGCATCAAGTTACATCAGGTTTGTACAGAGAAGAGCCTCAGATAAACTCCAAATGTTCAGATTTTTGGTTTCTTTTCAACCTCAGCCAGGCACTTTACTCCGACCCTGCAGCCCCCCTCTGGCCCCCCAGCATGCAGGCCCTGACCTAACTGCATTAGCCTCGTCTCCTCTCCCCTCTCCAGCCTCTCTTGGAGCCCCGTCATCTCCAGCCATAATGGAGGAGCAGTGGTGCCGACCAGGCCTTGTATGTGCTGTGTGTGAACACACACGCAGCTTTACGCTCCACCGCTACATCTTAATGGGCCTAATCGAAGGAGTGGCTGCAGAATGCAAGACATGCATTCTTTGGTGCAAACACATGCAGTTCCACATTATAGAGCCTGGAGATCAATCCATTTGATTGATTTGTTCAAGGACAGCTAAAGGTGCTTAATGGAAGAGTAATCAATTAAACTCAATTAATCAATTTTATCTATTAACTGAATTTATTTGATTTGAAGATTTAATTAGAGGAAAATCTGTTCGGTATTTCAGAGTGATGTCAGCACTCCTGTGGTCCGCCATCTTGTTTGACAAGCATGTTTTACAGCTTCCAATGTTATTTGTAATTTTGTTTGAAGAAATGAAAGTCAAAACATTTTTGATTAAAATTATAAATTGAATTTGATATAAAAAAAAATGAAATTTTCTTTTTAAGGCAAGTCGCCTGGCACATTAATATCTGGACTTAATGTGGTTAGACCTGAATCTGAATTGTTTTTCTGAGATGGAAGCCCTCCCCCCCATCCCACTTAGTGTTGACCTCAACATCAGCGAGAATAAGGAAGATTTGTTTCTTAAAATAAAGGCTTTAAAAACTCAATCTATCTGGAGAACAAACTAGATTTATGGAGGCTGCAGGTCTAGGTGACATGGTGGGGGTTGAATCTGTCAGGAACGAGGTCAACTGGGTGGGTGGAGGGGGTGACGGTGTGCTCCAGAGTCCACACATGGAGACGTTTAGTTCCAGATGAACCGGAGGGAATGGACCATTTAACCACGAGTAATGACTTGTTTTTCATGCTGATTGTCCAACTTATTGGCAGCCTGGCTTTGACACATTCAGTCGTTAGTTTGCACCTTTATGTGTTGAGCTAAGCGCTTTCTGGTTTTGTTGAGTTTTCAGTTCTGCAAGACAAAGTTTTACCATTCACATCTTTGGAGGGAACATGTTAATGAAGGCGCTGCTCAGGCTCATAATGTGTGAAATCCATTTCCAGTCCACAGCTGAACATGTGAAAATGCTGAAAATGGCTTTCTAAAAATAATTTTCTCGCCTATTAACAGTAAATGGCTTTGCAGTTCATCCTCCTTTAAAAAAAATGGCTGATTAAACACCAAGCTATGGTGATCCGGTCACTGAGAGTAACTTTATGCCTTTCATTAAGATAAAAATGTTTTTCAAACCTCTCTTTCATGAAGTTTATGCAAATAATTTCATTCTAAAATGTTTTAGCAGCGATCTCTCTCCACCCATCTGGTCTGGGTTTGATGATGGTAACAGGCTGCTGGCCTGCCTTTTGCAGCTTGTGGTTAATTCAGTAGTTTACAAGAAAAGGCTTTTATCTGAGACTCAATCACATCCGGTGAAGGTCTGAGGCTGCAGACTAGATTGTAGCTGCTGAGAGGCTTTAGCTACATCTTTTCAGTTTTCCTTTTAGCATGACAGAAGCAGAAAGCATTTAACCCCAAATTCACTTGCAGAGATTCGAGTCAAAAATATGCATTTCTGCTCTGTTTGCAGCATCCTCTGTCATGTTTCCTGACATTTTGGAGATCGGTCGATACTCACATGAGAAACCAATCTTATCTTAAAGCGTCTAAAATCAGCTACTGTTTGCTGTGAGAGAAGCTTGACTGTCCAACCTGCCCACCAGGTCATGTCTGAATGTGTGCGGTTAACAAGTTAACAATAATTTAATTTATTCGGGAGGGAGAGTGCACATTAATTAAACATTTTTTAAACGTGCCAGATGTTTTTATCTTTCATTGCTGGACATCAGTCATTTGTCTTGCTTAAAACAAACAAAGATTCTACAAGTAAGATTAAAATGACTCAACTACTAACTCATTTTATCAATAAAAACAGAAATACAAAACAGGGAAACTACAACACATTTATAAATAAAAAGTACAAAAAGTAGTTAAAGTTAATTAACAGTCACCCCCATGTTTGCCACTTTAGCAACTTTTCAGACAAAAAAAATTGGTTATCAGCTAAAATATGAATGAACAGGCTTTTAAAGATCAGTAATCAGCCTGAAAACTGCAATCCACAGTATAAAACAGGAATCCACAGAATGTCACAGAATACTCTTTACTCCATCTTCTGATAATGAATAGAGGACGGAGGAAACTACCAAGAAATGATTATCTACCTTCAATCCATCATGCCAACTCTTGAGGAGCTGTAGAGATCCAGAACCCCAGTGGAAGAAAACCTTTTCTGAACAAAATCTCTAAGAAGTCACTTTTGCAATTTGCCACAATCCACAGAGGAGATTCAGCTAAATTTAAAAAGGTTTTCTGGTAAGATGAGGTTGAACTCCAGTCTGGTCTACATGCAAGACAAAAAAGTAACATCAGCCTCAGCAGGATTTAGTTTGTTTTGTGAAGTGAGTGAATCTAAAATGTTGAAGGTTGTTTGAGTCAGTCTGTAAGGCTCAGCTCTCAAAACGAACAGTTCTTCTCTGGACTCCAACTCTTTTTAATGTTTCAGCTCTTCTTCAGTTGCTGTTGTTTTTTTTTTTGTTTGCTTTCTCTAGTAAGAACGCACATATCCTGACGTAGAACAGTTAATATCTTAGCTTTGTCTATAAAAGTCAGCAGATGTTTTTGGTGGGGTCAGCTGTGTTTCCTATCATTGACAACAAGAATGTCAACAAGCCGCTCTCGGTGTCAAAGATTAATTTTGACATTGTTCTGTAGAGGTTGTGAACTCTTTGGTTTTGAATGCACACAGCAGAGTTGTCCTCAGATTAAACAAACCGCGTTCGCTGACAGTGAACTGGACGGTGTTGGATTCAATCTTCTATTTCAGTTTTTTCTTTTTTTTTCTTGTTTCTGCAGGGAACCAACCTGACTGATATCTGCACGGAGTTGCTCCTTCATGGAAATCTCCTGAAAATCTCGGCGGGCAACATCCAGGAACGCGTCTTCTTTCTGTTCGACAACCTTTTAGTTTACTGCAAAAGGAAGTCCAGGTGAGAAACAAAACCATGTGTTGGTGAAAGGAAACAAGAGAGCATCCAAACTTGAGGAGACGTGAAAATAAAAACGGTTCATTCCCGTTAATGTGAACTCATTATTTACCATGTGAGAACCAAGCCAAGCACACATCCTGGGCATGTGGAGCATGTGGAGGTCTGTGGATGTCTGCATGCTTTCAGAGGGTTGTTTAAGTAGCACACGGCGCTGGCATCAGCTGGTGTTTATTCTTCCGGAGCGTAACCGCGGTGTTGTCCCCTCTCACAGAGTGTCTGGGAAGAAATCCACCAAGAGGACCAAGTCCATCAACGGGCCTCTCTATGTGTTCAGAGGCCGGATCAACACTGAGGTGATGGAGGTGGAAAACGTGGAAGACGGAACAGGTTTGTGTTTGTATCTCAGGATGCATTAAACCAAACTTTCAGCTCATTTCCTATTAAACACACTGAAAAAACACTAAAAATATTACCAAATATTTTTGTTTTTAGTGCAAATATCTTAGACCATATAAAATATAAGACCAAACTTTCTTGCAAGTAACTTTTCAGCGAGATACAGGAGTTGTTTTAATTCAGTATTTCCTTTATGCTTATGAAAAAGTTGTAATTCCACTGGCTGATTATTTAACATGGAACAGATGTCTCATTATGAATTAAATAATTATCCACTGTACTTTGTTTAATCAAAATGAAGAAATTGCGTACGTAAAGGGGCAGCGTTGTGTAAGATCAGTTATTTTGAGCTTTACATCATGTTATATTATTTCCTCATCAGAAAAAATCCTGGAGTTTTGTTTGAGAAATCCTTTAATCTCCATGACAACCGTTCAGTTGTGCTAAACGCCTGAGTGTACCAAAGGCACAGCTCCTCCTCTGAGCTGCAGCTTCTCAGCTTCAGCCTCTCAGAGCAGCTCCTCCCACTCAGATCCTTCAGACTAGCCAGCAGCAATTAGCAAACAGCTAGTGGAACTGCATAGCTCATTATAGGAGCTACTGCTCAGAGCTGCTGGTAAAAATGTTGTTAAAAGGCTAATAGAGGAGCCATGGGATGACTTCCTGAAGATGGAGCTTCAGAAAGAACAGGAGCTTCTTAAAGAGACAAAGGCCCAATTTCAAGGCATTAAAATACAAAGTCAAGTTTCTTTTGTCATGTTTGATATATATGTATACAGCATTTTTATAAAAATTGAAGGTAACATAGTTACTTGGTTGTGCTATAAAATGGTACTATATGCCTGTAAAACACATAATACTGCCCCTTTAAAACAAGCTCATATATCTTGATGAAAAGTTCTTGTGAGGTATTTAAACTGGGAACTAGACCAAAATTATTTAGTAAGATGTAATGTTTTTACAAATGAATCTATGAATTTACTGCGTTTCTAGAAAGGAAGAAGATAAAACAAAAGCAACAGTTGGTCCTTTCAGTTGGTGCACCGCACTCGCCCTTCTCATTTTCCATCTTGGTTCATGCTAGCTGTGCTGTTTTTAGCCCACCAGTCTGATTTGAATCGGGGACTTGTTGACAGTTTGGGTGGAGTGCCAAGCTTGCACCGAGTCCTGAACAGGATGTAGCTTGCAAGCTGTGTGCACCTTTACATGTCAGCTGCTGCGTGGCGACCTTATGAATACGTAAGGTTGCATCTGAAGCACAAAATCTCAATAGCAGCTGATAAACCTGATGTGCTCCAGCTCAAGTTTAGATAATATGAGAAAGATTTGCAGCTCGTCTGTTTGCTAATACGGTCTCCTTTTTTTCTTCTGTTATTGTGGTTTGTTGGGGTTGGTGCAGTTTTTGTTCTCCGGTGTAGAAACACTTGATCTTCCTCTCACATGTTTCCTCTTTTTTAATCTCTCTCTCTGTTTCTGTATTCACTAAGCTGGCAGTGTATTTCTGCAAGCTCACATGACTGGTTTTTGTTTTTTTTTTTGCCTTTATGTTAGCTGCTGGCTGTCATATTCTGGTTTCTGAAAGGGAAACCACAGAGAAAAACAAGCCTTACTTGCAAAGTCCGGGGGTCCCACTTTCAGGTTATCTGATCACGGAGTGTGAAAGTTGTGAAACTTGGGTGTGACTGGAAACAGAAATGAAAAAAAAGAGAACTTAACTTTCCACCTCATTTCTTTTTTTTTTTACTTGTCCAGATGATGTTTGCTGATTTCTTTGGGGGATTTTTAGGGAATCTCTTTTTTCTGTTCTGGCAGATCACACAGCTCTATCGCAGAAGCGGCTCCCCTCAGGGCCCAAAGTATCAAATCTATTTATATGACCTTTGAGCACGAGACTAATGCATCCCATTACCAGTGGCCATTCATTATTCAGAGGGCCGCTCACCTGCAGCTAAATGGATCAGAGCGGGGACAGAACCTCACGAGTCAGTGCTCTGTTACTGCTTTTATATTGCTGCCTGTTTATCTTCTTTATTAGATGTTCATGTTCAACTTTGACTTTATGTCTCTTCAGAGATACGCCTAATGTCAGCAGTTTGATTAGTCGCATTATTTTCTTTACTTAAAGCTGCAGGCGGTGTTTGCAGTGTGAATGCCGGTTGATGAATGTAAAACCAGGAGGTTCTTGGTGTGTTTTCATTCATTATACCTCCTGTTTTATAATGAAATAATGAATTATGTGGATATTACATTTATCTATTGTGGAAAATACATAACACTGTCCCTTTAAATAAAGGCCACTAGAGCAAAAAAATGTAAAATCTTATGAAAAAAACTAGAAAGAGCTGTTAAAGAATAGATTTACAGAACCTTGAAACGACCTGAAATTTATTTTATAAACACATATGATGTTATTGGGATTAGATATTATTTATCAATACAAAGACAAATGCTTTTCAAATGTTTTAAAAATCAGATCTGTTGTGGTGTCCAATGTTATTCCATCCAGTGTAAAGTCTGCTGAATTCTGATGCAATATTTTAAATCATGACTGTACCAGTGTTGTGCATCTGAAAGTGAATGGTTTACCTGTAACATGCCTGTAGTCTGATGCATGTTCACCTGACACCTGATGCTGCCTGATGCTGCCACCACCGTGTTTCACAGTGAGTTGTATGTTAACAACAGCTCCGGTTTTCTGCATGTGGACCTTTGACCTCACCTGAGCCCAGCGGCTTCCCGTCCTGCTGTCACATGTCACATAGATGGCTAAACACTTTTAAAGGATTGTTGAGATAATCTCAAGTTTTATCTTTTCCATTTTCACCTCTTCTTCTCTTAAATTCATTTATTCTTTTCTTTCCAGCCGACTATCACAGCAACAACTACACAGTGACTAATGGCTGGAAGATTCACAACACGGCTAAGAACAAGTGGTTCGTCTGCATGGCCAAAAATGTAGAGGACAAGCAGAAGTGGCTGGATGCCATCTTGAGGGAACGGGAGCAAAGAGAGAGTGAGCAATACTTTTTTCTTTTTAAAAAAAATCAATCTTTGACCTCCAGTTTTTATTTTTTGGTTTCGTTGCTCAGGAAGCAGATTTTAACACCAGAGGTTTCAAAAGGAATGCTCTAGGTGTGATTAAACATTTATATCATCCACCTTTATTGTAGAGGTGGTGTCTGCTCTCCTTTACCATCTGCTTTTCGTTCTTTATCATATTGGAATTTTTATATACACACACACACATATATATATATATATATATATATATATATATATA